TTCCTCTTAGTCTTACAGTTTCTGCCTTCCATCCGGTAATCTTCTTAAGGTCGTTTATCCTTCTCCCTATGTGTCACAGTCATCTAAGGCTCTGCGCTTTATTGATGGTTCATTCTTCATTTCTCATTGGTTCATTTCCCAGTTTTTCATTCTTATTGGGCCCATAATTGTTTTGAGGATTTTTTTTAATTCTTAATTTTCTTCATATTTACAAAGGAGTGGGCTATGGTTTCGTCAATTTCGCTAGTCTTGACTGCTCCTTTCACTGCTGTTTCTACGGCAATTGTGTTTGTGGCACCTTTTCCTATTTTTATTTTAACTTGAGATCCGTTCCTAGTAATTTTTGGTTAATCTGATTAGCTTTGCCTATATATCTTGATATTTCATTTCATTAAACAGCTTATTTCTTTTAATAGTAAATATCTTGTTTGAAATCTACAAAGGTGTGAAGCTCTATATTGTATTCGTGACATTCCTTAATTGTTTGGATAATTATGTGGATCGCATCTGTAGTGGATCTACCTTCCCTGCTGGTATTCCTCAATTTTTTCTCTGAGAATTGAGTTTTTCTCTGAATGTTAGAATTTTACATTTTGTACTCAGTAGAGATATTACCCTATAGTTATTACAGTCTCTCACTTCTCCTTTTTTAAATATTGATATATTTCTGCGTTATTTCCAATCCTTGAGCATTTTTTCTGCTTCCCAAATTCTAACTGTTAGCTTGTAAATGCTTGTTAATAATTTTTTTCTGTTTAATTTTGTTAATATTGTTAACATATTCTTAATTATGTTGGTATCATTATTTCATTATTTCTTATACCTATCTTCTATGAAATATGTTTCACATGATCCATTGTCAATTTTAACTACTGGTCTGCATTTTCTTTGTTGAGTTTTTAGGTATCCAAAGAGTTTAGCTCTGTCGTTACAACTCTCTTCTAGGTCCTTTAACAACTCTTCCATCAACAGCCTTTTCTTTATTTTATATTCAGATAGGTATAAGAAAACAAAAATAAGCAATCGAAAAGGAATGATTGGCATAATTATAAATGAAGGAGCGATGCGAAGACGGTATTATTACAATTTATCTTTTTAAAATTATAAGTCGTTATCACTAAAACTGTCACCAAAATAATTTTAAAAACTTAGTTTTATATATGCTAGAACCAACGATGGGTTTATAAGATACTCTGGTACTGCTTTTAGTCACAAAATCAAAGATTTTTAACTTTATGAATCTCTCTCGTCAGACCTGACTTTCTGGAGGGAGTGTAGTGGCAATCGTGATGTCATGTATTATCCGCCTCCAAAGATTTCCGTCTCTAGTCATTTTTTTAACTCATGCTTAAGTCTTTTTATTATGGAACGAGAAGAGCATTGCAGTTGCAGCGGTTTCCGGCTCTTCCCTTCGGACTTTGAATACCCAGGAGAGATCCACGTGAAGTTTAGTACGAAGATCGTACCCATATTCACAGCAGGTGTCTAGTCGATCGAATAATGTAGGTGAGGGAAGTCGGAAAATTGGTTCCGTAACTTTGGGATAAGGATTGGCTCTGAGGATCGTGGCATGTCGGGATTGGAGAGGAAGAGGCTTACGGCTGACGTGCCGTAAGTGGGCAAAGGTGAAGTGAGCCTAATTCTTACGAGTTGGATTTCATGGATCTGAGTTCAGTTCCATGCTTTAATCTCAGGTGGAACCGTCTTGTTGCGCGGTTCTGAGTTACTTTCGAGTGCTTGGATGTCCTCTGATTGGTCAGCTCAGAACTGGGAACGGTTTCATTTTTATCGTCCAAATTACTCCTGTAATTTGATCGATCCATCTTGTTGGCGATCTTCCTCGTGATTTTTGGCCTTCTACCTTTCCTTTTATAAGTATTTTCATGTTTTTTGTGTCTACTCTTTGCTGAATAGCCATTTGCTTTTTAGCTCATTTAGAATTGAATTATTTCTCCTGTGGTCGGTCTACGGAATTCCCAACATTCTTCTCTCAACAGAACATTTCAGTGTCGTCTATCTTTCTTCTTTCCGATTGTCGTAGGGTCCAATATTCACATCCGTATATCAGTATTGGGAATATTAAGCAATTGATCAACCTCATTTTTAGAGTTCGTGAAATTTGGTAATCCTTTCGTATTTTTGCCATCTTGCCTACGGTGATTTCTGCTAGATCACATCTACGTTTTATTTTTTCCTGTGTGACCCTGTGTTTATGTGACCCTCTGTTTATGATAAACGATCCCAGATATAAGTATGAGCTCACAACCTCAAACTGGTCAATCGTGGTTATGTGTGGATGATGGTTATGTAGTCTATCCACTATCATGATATTTGTCTTTGATATGTTTAACTGCAGACCAAATATTAGATTTTGGTTTTCAACTAGTCGTATGGTTATCGACTATTTCGAGACCTCAATAAACTACATAGATATGGATATGATCATTAAAAAAAATTTACTATTGGAAAGTTAATACCAATGTTGGAAGAAATTTATTTATATTTTAGGTCTTTCACACTTCATAAAAATTTGTAAATCATTGCAAATACATATAGTAGAATGTTATAAAACGAATGTTCAAATTGTTAAAATGTTTCGAACTATCAATTTGCTTATTTCAATTATATTTCAATATAATTTAAACAAGTAGACGGGCAACATTATTTCACATCCCCGTCGTCGTAGTTACCAAACAAGCCATACCTTGTTCTCATTTCAACACAGCCTTTAACAATGTTTAAATAATTGCCCATTTTGACGAGTCGTCAGTATAATATGTAGAAAGCGCGTTCAGCGTGAGGTTATAGCTATTTAATGAAAATTTGTATCACTTTCTTTTCGGTAATCCAACCATGAAGATCACTAAGAACTTACGCAACGATACAATCATACTGTTTGCTGTTAATTGAGATTTTTCTAATTTCTGAAATTATAAATTACAATTAAAAAAATGTGCTGCGGTTGGATTCGATTTTCTTTCGAGTAAAAGAGATTCGTATCATGTGGCAGAATCGGAGAAGCGTAACTGATCTTGCGTCAGAGTTTTAAGTGTTAGGAAACAAAGAAATAAATAATTTATACATGTTTTATAATATTATTGAGTTGGCAATCTTAATGCTCTGCGCAATCATAAAAAATATCTCTTGAAAATAATATCAAAGTATTAAATTGAAAGCCGCGTTCACGGATATTGACTAAAGAATATCAGCTGTGGGAAGGGATCCCGCATAGGGATAAAGAAGAAGAGGATGATGATATTTACTGTGGCTACCAAACCGGGAAAATATTTCGGACCGAAGATTAAGAAAAAATGTATTAAAACCTTCAGCTGTCTACACCAAAATTTCTTAAGACTACAAAAGACTGAACTCAGAATCTACTCACTCAAATATTATATCTGTAAAATGGGTAAAATAGGATTAAATTAATGGGCGATGAATCAATACCAATAATCACAAAGATATACAACAACATATATACAACTCTGAAAAGATGCCAACAGAATGGCTGAATTCAGAGGTAATTGCACTTCTAAAAAAATCAGCCAAGAAATGCAAAAAATACTGTACAATAAGAGAACTTACGAGCTGTGTGAACCAGGGAGTTGAAGTCAACTTAATAAATGCGATTGGTAAGAGAGAGGTAATGGCGCACCCAGGGGGGGTTTGGGGGTAAACCCCCCCCCCACCAGGACCCTATTCCGACACTGTCATTCACAACTTTTAAGGACTTAAAATGGTGGAGATAGCATAAAAAAAATTCGGTGCCCAATCAAAACCCCTCCCAGAGGAAATTTCTAGGTGCGCTACTGGAGAGAGGTTTTATTTCCAGAAGGAGTTTTATTCCAGAAATGCAGAGACATTAATTGGGACGTATACGCATGTCTGGTTGACTACTAGAAAACGTTTGATTAAGTACAGCACACCAAGGTGATGCAAATTCTAAAAGAAGAAGGAATTAACAACAAAGATCTGAAACCTCAACTGAAATCAGATTGTAAATCTCACAATTAGTCCAGTCGCCAAAGATTTGACCTCTAAAATTCATACAAACTAGAAGAGTTTTCCTGAGAATGTCAATTTTGGGACCCCAAAAAGATGAAAAAAGTTTGCTCCTACTCCCGGCTTTCCCCTAAAACGCTAACTCGTAGGAAGGGGAAAAACGCAAAAAATCGATTTATTAAGAATCTGTACATCGTAGAAAAAATATTTTAAATCTAAAATGTAGATGAGATAATTTTGAATAAAAATGTTGATTAGCACTTTTTGTGTAGAATAAACCGTTCTCTCAGAAATGTGTATCAACTCGACAGTAAAAATTCGATATCTTTTGATCGGAGTGTCCTATTGACAAAAAGCAAAATACGTTTTAAAGCCGCGTTCAGGGATATTGACTCTAAATAACATTAGCTGTGGGAAGTGATCGGACAAATGTCAACAGAATGTACATTATAAAATTGATAGACATACAAGAAAATAAAAAATATATCTCACAAAAATACACTAATAGATCTTTTTAACACTTCACTGAGCACTGACTTGTTGAAAATAAACACTAAAAAAATGGATTTTTATCTGTTACCACAGAAAATTTCAGCAGTTATAAAAACTTACATTCAATTATGATTATTTCACCATACACTTAAATTGTTGTCTAAACTGATTTATTTACCAACGAATAAAATTGGATTAACCTGCTTCCAGTGGTTCTAGACTCAAACTACCACAGGAAACCATATTTAACTGAAGGACACTTTGACATGCTTTATCATTTTAATAACAAGAGATAAATTAATAATTAGTAAAAATAGCATGCATATAAATGAACATTATTATCCTTATTCTCTTTCTAAGATTTTAAGACGCAATTCGAAATATTAAATAAAAATCTTATGAAATTTTTATGATCTACATAGTGGATAAGAAAAGCCTACAACACTAATATTAAACTTCCTTATATACTATTGTTTAAAACTAATTCACGTTTTTTTTTATTTCAGTTTTGACTGACATCGACATTAGCACATACGACGATAGTACCATAGGAACTCCTTCTGTGACGTCATACAGACTGAGCGACGACGTTTTTTGTGTACAACCCCCATCACTGAGAGCTATGGGATCGTTTAGGTCGTCCAGAGAAACTGGGGCGATATCGAAGAGAAATGACAACGGCAATATTCCTGATACCAAATATTTTAAATTCAGGGGTAAGTTCCTTTGCTAAAGAAATAAACTTCATCGAAAAGTCACTTTTATTTTCTATTTTCTTTTTAACTCCAGTTTCAATTTTTGGAATTAGCAACTCTTTCGTAGTTTTCATAGTTATCGTGCAAAATTTTAATGACATCAAGAGAACCCTGTTACTCTTCACATTTCTGTACGTATATAATATATCTAATACCTAAATGAATGACGATCACATTTTATTTAAATATTTTCCTTTGTTATTTTCATTTTGTACAAATCTTGAATTATTTTTTTACAGATTTTTTCCGTGAATTTAATCTTATTCTTCTGTCCAGTTGTTAAAACCACATTATATTATTTTCAGCTCTACCTATCATAGATTGTTTTATTAATTTTTGTACAAAGATCACTTTTTTGTTGCTTCCTCTGGCATTGGCTCTTCTAGTTCTGATTTCATACTTGTATTTGCAGCATGTTTCTTATAGCCGTACTGTTATTTGAGATCTTTATCATCGTTTCTTGTTCTCTAGTTCCAATATATAATTTTTTATTTCATTTTTCGTCCTTCGTGCTCAACTACTAGATGCACTTCAAAAGTGGAGTTTTTCCTCATGATGAATCTAGAAGTAAATCTATACGATATTATCTATTATTATTATTATCTATACGAAATCTACACATCCCGATATATCCTGCCAAGTAAAGATGACATCGTCATAATTTATAAGAAATATTCCAAACCTTCTTCTGTGATATAATTAAGAAGAGACATGCTTGATAACATTTATAAAAAAGGAAAGTTAAGCCAAGGAATGGATAAACATGAAATAAAAATGAAAGACAAACTCACAAACGCCTTAATGACATACAGAAAGTTAGTAAAACAAAACTGATAACAATCCTGGTGTAAACAAGCACGACATCAATATAGAATTCTACAATTGATGCTTAAATGCAAAATAGAAGGCCGTAGAGGTGTAGAAGCAAAATAGGTTAAAAAACATTCATGCATACTCAGGTATCAAATGCAGCACATTTATTCCATAAGACAGAAGATCGAGAAACCTTCGCAATGGTGATCGCCAATATCGGATAATTCTGATATGACACATGAAGAAGAAGCAACGTGCATGGCAATACTTGGACCATTCATCAGGTATGTTGGAGTTGCCTGGAGAAGTAGAGCTAGTCTAAGTAAGAAGAAGAAAATAATCTCTGTCTAATTTGACATCCAAGATGTCAAATGGCTGTCATGGAAGTCTTTCATTTCACATCATAGTGAAAAATCAAGACGATTAATAAGATGAACGATAAAGACATCATTATAACTTTGTTCAATATCGGTATTAAGCAAGGCCTTAGACTATACTATAGTCAAATAAATATAAATGTGTGAATGAACCACAAAGTCAACTTACAAAAACGAGTGGGATACAGACAATATTTTTAAACTATACAAAATGCTATTAAGTAGTACATAGATGACTCTATAACAACAGAAGAAACTAATATATTCTACTAGCGCAAACCACTAAGAAAGCCTGGACAAAATTATAAGCGCCGTTTAGGGGAACCTCACGATTTGAAGATGTCAGCAAAACTTGGACAAAAAATATTGGGTAAAAGAAGTTGTTACAATGTCTGATAGCCAAGAAGCCATCATCAAAACAGTGCAATCGCATATACATGCGACTTATACGAATGCTTACGGAAATTGAATGAATTAAGCAAAGAAAATTTTATTTCCCTTCTCTGTTGGGAAGTTGAGAGAAATGAATTAGCCCAACGAGGTACAAAGACACTTTATAAAGAAACGGATTCGTTTTACGGGATTAGTAACAGCAGTGAAGGTTTAAACATTGGAAAGACCTACAAGGATAAATAATGAGACAATCAAAAATACTTCTAGGAATTATACTCATTAAAAATTTAAATAAATATTGGTAGTTTAAACGACAAAAGGACTGTATATTCAATATTTCTTTTTGAAACTTTCAACTCTCTTTTACAATAATTTAGGGAAACCCTATTCTGAATATTATCTGTAATATACATGTAGTTTCATCTTTCTTCGGCTCCCATCGTTTTATTTGTTAGAATTATGCTTTCTTTATTATTATGTTAAGTAATTTCATTATTAATATTTACTTTTCTTTTTCAGAACGTTCGTACAGCGACATCCAACGGGTCTAAAATATTCAACACATTCTCACACATTGTTGAACTAGTCATTTCCAAAGTTATATGTGGTCAACTCATACCAAATGGGATTATATGTGAATCGAAATAGTAAAATAGTGAATTTTTTATTGTAATGGTAGGAAGCAATCGTACCTAATAAAAAACTATGCATTTATTATAGAAAAATACGTATCGTCTGTATCTTTTAACTTTTAAATACGTTTTTAAACTTTATTTGGGAATGTTTTTCAGTTGTGTATATTTTATTATAATATATTCTATTAATCTCCAATTTCATCACATAATCCGTATAAAAACACAACAACGATATCCACAAATTTAACTATTTTAGATTTATTTTTGTTCGATACAATAAAAATTATTTTTAAATTTGTTCAGTCACGTCCATGGTCATTATATTTTATGCCTTTTTAAAACTAACAATTAAACATATTCATTTACTGTCCAAGTGCCGTTTCCCATTCGTTTGAGCAATGACTTTCTTACAGAAAAAATTTCTTGGTTACTAAAATTTTAATTTTGTTTTGTCGTGTAACATATTCACACTTGACTTACAAATATTTGGAATTAGAACACATTCACAGTTCTAATGTCACTATTAATAACATTTTACTAGTACATAAAACAGCTATAGTTTCCCATCAACAACAATCTCGATAATATTTGTTTTAAGTAGGAATACAAAATTTTTAAAAATATGATAAGTAAAATTATAGATTATTTTGATTGATATTGATAGAAAAAATTACAATTATTTAATAACTTTTTGTTTTTAATTATTCTTTACGAAGAATAAATTTATTTGCAATTCAGTAAAAATCCATCTTTGGTACGATTGTTTCTTTGGCGATATGTATCTATGTATTTCTGTTATTTTTGTGTTTTGTGTACTGTTTGCAATATCAGTCAACTCACGCTATTTATACATAATTATTACCGAATGTACGACAATCTGTAATTGTACTGTACTTGCAATATTGTAATTGTAGATTTAGAAAATTTTATACATATTTATAGAACGATTAATAAAATGGTAAAATAACAGTAAATTATGTTTTTCTTTCACAGACTATGTTTAACAATCAAATAATGGTTAAACTTGTTAATTTCAAGCCGAAACGTCGTCAAAATAATGGTTTGTATCAAAATTAAAATTATTCAACGCAGAGTAAAACCCGGAAAATTACAGAATGCATATATAACTCCCTTGAAAATTTTTCTGAAAATCTAATAATGTCAAATAGAGCACCCTATATATTTTTTGTCTTTTGAAGTTCTTAAGCAATACTGATTATTTTTCATGTAATGTTCTTTATACCTAAAAGCCATTTTTTTTTATTTGAATAAACGTGTCTCGACGACGAGGTTATTGACACGATGACAGTATAGGGGAAGGGCGGGCAAAATGGCATACTTAGTTTATTTTCCATATATCTGAGATAAATAGAGATAAATCATTCCTTTTGATGTATAATGATAGTCAGGCCATTTTTCTACTAATTTAAGTAACAATAAATCACTCATACAAAGATTTATTTAAAAAAAATCAAAATCAAAATGTAACAAAAAACCATTTTGCCCGCCCAGTGCGGGCAAAATGGCATACACATAAACAATATTGTTAAATACAAAAATAATTATAAATTTTTATTTTTACGAAGAAAAAAAATTGAAATTAAACATTTTAGTTCATGCAAAGTTCGCAAATAAATTGTTTTGCTTTTTTTGGGAAGTCCAGCACATTCTGAATGTGAGCAGTTTTGGCAAATTTGGCATCTTAACCATCCTTCATTAGATTTGGACCTACTAAACGTATCATTGCAGTAAATGCAAGCGCAGTCCTCTTGTTCATCATCATCAATACTAAAGGGTTCTTCTTCATCACTTGATATACTGTTCAGTATTGGTCTAGTCAGAATATTTCTCTTGCATTTTCTCTCCGACTGATGTCTATCTTTGTTCACAATGCATCTTCCATCACTTAAATCATTGACTATTTTTCTTTTCACGACGTCCTCTTTTCGGCTTTTTATTTCTTGTGCTTTTTTTATTTTCTTTTTCGCGGATATATTTCAGGAATGGGCTCTCGGTTAATACATCTTGGAATTGACCAGATTTACATTTGGTAGATTTTCTTAAGTGTCCACTTAAGAAACACACTTGGACACTTAAAAAATCTAACATTACAAACCTAGAAGCATTCGAAATGTGGTGTTACTGACGTATTTTGAAAATATCATGGATGGATCGCAAAACAAACGAACAAGTTCTCGAACAACTAGGAAAACAAAGCGAAGTTTTAAATTCTATAAAAATCAAGAGATTGGAATACTTGGGGCACATCATGAGAGGTGAAAAGTACGAACTACTAAGGAATATATTGCAGGGTAAAATCAAAGGTAGAAGAAGCGTAGGAAGACGTAAAATCTCGTGGCTACGCAATCTCCGTGAATGGTTTGGATGAAGTTCAATTGAACTATTCAGGCGAGTAAGCAATAAAATTATAATTGCCAGAATGATTTCCAATCTCCGATAGGAGTGGAACTTGAAGAAGAAGAAGAAGATTTTCTTACATTACTCTGAGGTACCAGTGCCAATTCCATCAGGATTCCTTCAATAGATTCATCTTTAGAACCAGATGCCGATGGTTCTTGGACATTGTAAGTTGCAGCGTAAGGAACATTAACATCAGCATTTAAAGATGTAGAAGCAATGTCAGGTTTATTAGTAGAACCAGGCACATCCTCAGGCACATCTGTAGTTGCACTAGGCAAAAATGCATGCTCCGGAAAAATGTCACGATTTATAGGTGATATTCCTGTGGCCCGAAAACCATTTACTGCGATTTCAATATTTGCTGTTTTCTCATATGCTTTCTGGAAGAGACTGGACACTTGATATATGGTAATTGCATGACCAGGATTTTCATTGAGCCAATGAGTAACAGCTTGATTATAATATTTATGGAGTGGTCCGACAAAGGCAACATCCAATGGCTGAAGGCGGTGCGTGCAGTGTGCCGGCAGGCAAAATAATACCACTGAATTCTGTTTAGCTAATTCTAAAGGTTCGTAGCTTTCATAGCTGGTCATGTATCTTGATTCATTATGCAATTTTAATATCTCCGGTCATGTATCTTGATTCAATATGCAATTTTAATATTAATACAGGTGCGCCATCATATACAGCTTCCTAAAAGAAGACTATATACATGGACGTCTCCTTCACATACAGAAAACCACATTGTCAGAAACCAGATAGACTTTATACTCGTAAATAGCAGATATAAAAACTCTATAACCTCAGTTTAAAACTTATCCTGGAGCAGATGTTAACTCAGACTACAATCCGCTAGTGGCTGACGTGAAAATAAAATTAAAAAGAATTGAACTCAGAAAACAACAACCAAAAATTAACGTAAGAATGCTACAAAACGAAGAAATAAAAAACGAAATAAAAAATAATGTGAATGTTAATATGCAAAAAACACTAACTGACAACAAACAAATTATGGATGTAAATAAAAAGTGGTGTAATATAAAAAACACATTACTGAAACCAGCTCAAGAAAGTTTAATAGAACATAAATCAGAGGCTAAAAAACACTGGATGACAGAAGAAATACTATTACTGATGGAAGAAAGAAGAAAATATGAAGGAAAAGATCTACAGAAGTATAAAGAAATACAACAAATAATTAAGAAAAAAATCAAAACCGCTAAGGAAATCTATTTGATGAAGCAATGTAAAGAGATAGAAGAACTAGAAACAAAATATGATATGAGAAATATGCACAAAAAAATTAGAGAAGTGACTGGAATGGGTCGAAATAGACAGCAAGAACACATAAAAGACAAAAAAGGAGTACTACTAGTAGATTTACCAGAGAAGTTAAGGCGATGGGAGGAGTACGTTAGAGAACTTTTTCCAAGATGAAAGAGGTGAAATGCAGAAAATACAAGAATTAAATCCTTTAGAGATACAGAAGATCACGATAGATGAAATCAAATATGCTATCAAAAACTCTAAAGACAATAAGGCAGCTGGATTAGATGAAATACCAGTAGAACTGTTAAAACTAGTGGAAGAGGACAACTTGGAAGTATTGGCAGATTTATTCAACACGGTGTACGATACGGGAATAATACCACAGGAGTGGCTAAAGTCAGCATTTATAACCATCCCTAAAAAACAAGCAGCAAAAGAGTGCTCTGATTATCGAACACTGAGCCTCATGAATCATACTTTAAAAGTTCTACTAAAAATAATACATAAGAGAATATACGAAAGGCGGATAAAGAGGAGGATATTAGCGAGACGCAGTTAGGGTTCCGAAATGGAATGGGTACTCGAGAAGGACTATTTGCCATCAACATATTAATTCAGCGATGTTGGGATGTAAATCTTGATCTACACTTGTGCTTCGTTGACTACGAAAAAGCTTTCGATAAAGTAGGACATGAAAAACTAATATCAATACTTATGAACAAGCGCATTGACAGTAAAATCATAATTATAGTGCAAACATTATATTGGAACCAAAGTGTCGTAGTTCAAATTGATGGGCAACACTCAGAAGAAATGAGGATCTGTAGAGGAGTTAGACAGGGATGTGTGTTATCATCCACTTTTGTTTAACTTATATTCTGAAGAAATTTTCCAAAACACGCTCAATAATATCGAAACGGGAGTCACCGTTAACGGAAAATTAATTAATAATTTAAGATATGCAGACGACACTGTGTTCATAGCAATGAGTATAGAGGATCTACAACATCCTATCGAAAGCTTGAGTATAAATAGTGCTGAGATGGGAATTACTATAAACGCTAAAGAAACGAAGTACATGCTGATTACAAAAAGGCCACAAAATATACATCACCTATTGAAAATAAATGGTAACGTGATAGAACAAGTAGAAAAATATCAGTATTTGGGAACTTTGATCAATGAAACCAATGATCATAATGTAGAAATAAACAGACGAATAGAGATTGCCAGATCAGCATTTATACGAATGAAGCCACTCCTAACGTGCAAAAATCTAAATTTGGAGATCAGACTACGTACCATTCGCTGTTATATATTTTCAATATTATTATATGGAGCTGAGACTTGGACATTAAAAAAATGTAATTTAAAAAGAATCGAGGCCTTCGAACTCTGGTTATACCGCAGATTATTGAAAATATCATGGACTGATAGAATTACAAATAAAGAAGTACTGGAGAGGGTTGGTAAAGAAACAGAACTAATCACCACTATACAAACCAGAAAACTGGAATACCTAGGCCACGTGATGAGGGGACCAAAATATGAAATTTTGAGACTGATAATACAGGGAAAGATTCAAGGAAGAAGATCTGTTGGCCGAAGGCAGAACTCATGGTTAAAGAATCTACGTGATTGGTATCAATGCAGATCGATTGATTTGTTTAGAGCAGCAAGTTCTAAAATAAAGATAGCCATTATGATTGCCAACCTCCGTAGGGAGACGGCACTCTAAGAAGAGAAGCCATCATATAAAAGTGGGTTAAATCTTTTTCGGGGGAAAATTATTGATGTTGGTACGTAAGTTCCTCCAGAACTCATGCACACTACAATGTTGTGTGTATACACCTCTTTTTGCGCTCGTGATAGAGCCCACTTGTTTTTTTTTTCTTTTCTGAGCAAAGACTTTTGGCGGAACTTGGACGGTGGTCAAGGCTGATTCGTCCATGTTGAATATAATATGGTATTTTGAATTTTGTGTTCTTCAACAACTTCTTCTAACTTATCAAAAAATTTATTTACCTGAGGCTTATTGAATGTCTCGGCCCGTGCAAGAGACGTAGCTTCTGGAAGACGTAATGATAAATGTGGATTTCGTTGGCGAAAACCATGCAACCATCCTCTGCCAGCCATCTTGGTCACTTTATTGAAGGAATTATTAATCTTCATTTTCTCTGCAATGCTATAGGTTAGCTTGCATAAGTCTGCTCTTGTCACGCCAAAAAACCGGGATTCAAGATACAGAATGTGGGCAACTACTGCAGTCTCCATATCTTCGTTTAAAACTGTTGCCAGGGAGCCCAAATGTT